AAAAATACAACTTTAAAAATGCATACCATTTAAACTAGCAATTTCAAATGTAGGTCTTTCCACATATTCAAAAGCAAACAAAAATATATCTACAAACATATATTAGGAACACCCTACATATCTACAGTCAAAAATAATGATGCAAATTGTGATACAGCCATGCAAGTGAACATTATATGTAACTAAACAAAAGCAAGAAAAATCTACATGTAGACATGAAAAATAAACTGACATATATTGATCATAGGAAAAAGTTATAAAATAACATATATATAGAATAATCATCTTATATTTTTATTTTTTCTGTATATACATGTCTGTATATTTTGAAAAATCTAGACAAATACATATAAAATTTTTAATATTAGTCCCACCTTGAGGAATGAGTGGGAAAGAAAGAGAAGTGAGGAAAAGAACCCTAGAATTTATCTTTTTTAATTTTTCATGTTGTTTGAAATTAAAAAAAAAAATTCTCATATATCATCTGTGTAAGTAGTGAGCTGATTTCTAAAAAAATATTTTGGCCGATATATAATATTTTTTAATTTTTAAGTTTTTTAAATTAATTTTATTGGTACATTTAATGTGTATAATATAATGACATTCATTATTGGAAATTTGTACCTTTACATAATCAGTATTGGTTCTTATTTTTTCCCCATTCCCCTGCCCTCCTGTTACCCTCCCTCCCTATCTACAAAGACTTTGTTTCCATTATTTTTCATTTATTCATATTAATTCCATTCCCTTCTTTCTTTTGTCCTACCCCTCCCATTTTCCCTTCCACTTTGTCCCTTTTCTTTCTATTTCACATTATCTATTATACCTTTTAGTCCTTATGTTCACTTTCAGTTTCCTCACACTAGAGAAACTACTTGGCATTTACACATGTCCTATTTATATCACTTATCACCTCAATGTGCACCCATTTAGCTATAAATGTCTCTAATTTCTCATTTTTATGGCTGAGTAGTACTCCATTTTATTTTTTTAAGACACACATTTTTTTTTAATCCAGTCTCCCATTGATGGGCAATTGGGCTGCTTCCAAGTTTTAGCTATTACAAATAGTGATGCTGTGAACATGGGTGCACGTATATCACTATGGTATGATGCTTTTAATTCTTTAGGGAAGATGCCCAGCAGGGGAATAGCTGGGTCAAATGGCACTTCCAAACCTAGTTATTTGAGGTAGCTCCATTCTGCTTTCCACAGTGGTTGCTCCAGTCTACACTCCCATCAGCAGCAGAACAGTGTTTCTCTTTCCCCACAGCCATGCCAGAATTTCTTATTGGTTTATTTCATGATAGCAGCCATTCCTTCTGGGGCAATATATGGTATCTCAAGCCCTGCATTTTCCCTGATTTTCCTGAGCTATCCAGTATGGCTTTCACTTCTGTAGCAAGCCGTCATTATCACACAATACCTGTAAACCCTGAATTAATAAAGAAACTTTAAATATTAAATATACATTAGTTTTAATTTATATTTTAACAGTTAAGTCTGTAATTCTGTCATGAGATCTGTGAAAATGGACACCTTCCCTGAAGAAGAAACATAAACCACTAAAGCAGTAAGAGTAAATCTTTACTTGGCATCCATATAACTTGGGCACAGCTGTTAGCCCTATTTGTATGAGAGGAGACTAAGGCACAGTTGCCCCGAAGTCAGGCATCTAGTAAGGATTTTTGTGATCCAGGCATTTTAATTACAGAACCTATGTTATTACAGTAAAAAAAAAAATGTCAAAATTAGAAAAAGTTATCTAAGGGTTTTAAACTTTAAAAAAATCAAGGAGATATATTTTATTGCAAAAATAGTTTACCCTGTAGGAAATAGAAGTGATGAACAGAAGCAGCAACATTTAGAGTGCTCTACACAATAATGCTAGATTAAAGTCAACATTGTTCCTAGATGGATAATCAACTCATACAGCACTATTTATGGAAAACTATCCCACTCCACTGGACTGTAATGGAGACTTAGTCATAAAATAAGTGGCTGTAAGAGTGGATACATTTCTGGCCTCCTTTTGATTTCAGTTTCATATTGACTCATCATTGAACCACATTACATTTTCTTAAAATTATTAAAACTTAAAAAATCTTCATGTCTGACTTTATGTATCTTCCAGCTTTGTTTATCAAGATTGTTTAATTTCTGCATTTTGTATTTTCAAATAAATTTTAAGGATAACTGGGAAATTTTCACAAAATACTGCATTGAAATTTCCACCTGGATTCCAGTTACACATACACAACAGGGCCATAATTCATATGTCTCACTTCTGGACAACTCTGAATCACCAGTGTTACACACATGACTGTCCTATCTGGCAGCATGGGACAGTTTGCTTCAGTAGTATAAGCTGCCAGATAGGACAGTCATGCAGGTACATCTGGTGGTTCCAGCCAGCAGGAATGTCCTAAAATTTTATATCAATTTTAAAAAAACTGACATCTTTATAATATTGACTCAATATATTAAGAGTATCACCCCACTTAATTAGTTTTTATTTTTGTATCAACAGTTTTTTTCTGTGTACACTTCCTGCACTATTTTTCTCATGAATCTAAACCTTTTTCTCACACTATACACAAAAAATCAGCTCCAGATAGATATAAAACACCATAACCCTATTAAAATTTTAATCATCAAAGGGCTGGGGATTTAGCTCAGTGGCACAGCACCTGCCTCACCAGTGCAAGGTCCTGAGTTAAATCCCTGGTTCCAAAAAAAAAAAAAATTACACACTATTTTAAAAATTAAGACAATGAGGGCCGGGGATTTAGCTCACTGGTTCAGTGGCCTGCCTTGCAAGCACAAGGACCCGAGTTCAATCCCCCCCCAAAAAAAATAAGAACATAAAAATTAAGACAAAAAATGTAACACAAAAAGGTAGTGGGTACTTGCAAGATCAATATATTCAAGAAAGACTCATATCCATATTTTTAAAAATTTTACAAATCAACAAGAACAAGACGAAAATTTTATTTTTTAAAAAATGGGCAACACCTCCAAATTTAAAGACCTGATTCAAAAATGGGCATCTGAAATGAATAGACATTTTTCAGACAAAGAAGTAAAAGCAGCAAGTAAATATATGAAGAAGTGTTCCACATCACTGGTCATTCCAGAGATGCAGATGAAAAGAACACTGAGATTCCACCTCACCCCACAAAGAATGGCTGCTATCAAGAAATCACACAATAACAAATGTTGGTGGGGTTGTAGGGAGAAAGGAAGCCTTCTCCACTGTTGGTGGGAGTGAAGACTGGTGCAACCACTATGGAAATCAATATGGAGATACCTCAAAGAGCTACGACTAGAGGTTCCATTTGTCCCAGCCATCCCTCTGCTGGGTATGTTTCCAAAATTAAAAGAATCATATTACAGTAATATATGCACACCCATGTGTATAGCAGCACAATTTGTAATAGCTAAAACTTGGAAACAGCCCATTTGCCCGTCAGTTGGAGACAGGATAAAGATAATGTGGTTTTCTATAAAATGGAATACTAATCAGCCATAAAGAATGAGAAATTGGAGTCATTGATAGGAAAGTGGGTGTATATTGAGGATATGCTCTTAAGTGAAATAAGTCATATGTGTAAATACCAAGTAGTTCCTCTTGTGTGAAAAACTATAATCGTAAATAAGATCCTAATGGTATAATTGACAATGTGAAATAGGAAGAAAAGGGCTAAAGGCATAGGGGAAGTGGGAAGGGTAGGGAGAAGGTAATAAGGAAAAAGAAAAAATGAGAAAATAAAAAAAATGGAAATAAAGTATTTGTAAATAGGGAAGGGAGTGAAGAGAGGGCAGGGGTATGGGGAAAAATGGGAACCAAGACCTGTCATGTAAAGGTACAAGATCCCAATGGTGAATGTGACTGTACTGTATACCTAAATGTACCAATAAAATCAATTAGGAAAATAAATGGGCAAAAGATATGAAAAGGCACCTTACAACAGAATGGATTCAAATGGCCAGTAAACATGATTGTGTGAAATATTGTTATCATAAGTCTAATGCAAATTGCAAACAAGACAAATTGCCAATCACTGGAATTTCTTATTTTATTGACAACATCAAGTGTAGAAAATTATATAGAACTTGGACACTAGAGTAGGAGTGTAGATAAATGCAGCACTTTGGAAAATTATTTGGCAATTGTATTAGTCAGCTTTTCTGTTTCTGAGACACAATACCTGACATTCACAACTTTAAGGAGAGAGATTTAATTTGCCTCTTGGTTCTATCAGGAGGTTCTATCCATAGTTATCTGACTCCAAAGCAGAAACATCATGGCGGAAGACAGAGCCAGGAAGCAGAGTAGGGAAATAATGTCCAAGAGTAAGGGGCCAGAAGCCTAAGGTCAAGCTGTCATGACCCACCACTGCATACCTAATAGGGCCTTTATTAATCCCTTGGCTGGGGACCCAAACCCAATCAAGTTGACACAATTAAGCTTAATTGTCACAGTAATATCTACTGAAGTTAGACATATGCCCATCTTATGACCTAGCATAAAGCCAACAGAAATGCGTACATATGAATACCAAATAAATTCTCACAGCAGTATTACTCAGATAGACCCAAACTGAAACAATCCAAGTAGCAATTCATAATAAATATATAAACCATAAATGAATCTCAGCAACGTAATATTAAACAAATGAAACCAAATACAATTGCATAGGTAGTCTTTAATTCATATAGATAAAAGTCAAAAGCAGTAAAAGCTACACAATGGTGATAAAAGAGTGGTAGTTTTCTTTGTATAAGAGTGATGATTAAAAGAAAAGATCTTAATCTATGGCCAGATTAATGATTATATAAAGAGACAGAAAAATGCTACAAGAGTGGAGAGATTGGATGTTTCCATAGGAAAACACAAATCTCCAAAGATCAACAATAGTAGATAGCACAATGAGATTTTTTAAATGTTTTATGTACACTTTTTGGTAAATTTTCTGTCTTTAATTTTGTGGTTTTAGTTAATAATGTCCAAAAAAAGAGAAATACATGATTTTCAGTCTATTATCAAGCCTCTTACTGTGGAAGAAATCCTATATCATATTCCATGGCTTGAGAAAAACCCAAAGTATATAGACTTTATTCAGGTAAGATTTTTATTACTTAATGGTATCCTCCTCAATGTATCAACAAATACTCTTTTTTAAAAAGGATTTAACTGCGACAGTCTAGTTTAAAACTCTTATTGTTCCATTATCCATAGGATAAAATCAGAATCCCTTTGACTGACACAAAAAATGCTGCCACGATCTGCCTCCTGCCTGTCTCCACCTTCATCCTCTGTTTCCCATCTGTCCTATTTCCTTTATTCTCAGTGAATGCTGAACCACTCAACATGTCTTACATACTGTTCATTGTTCTCTAATTCCACTTGTCTGTGGATAGCATTACTTTTCTTGACATGCTCTCCTGTTTTACTTTGTCTCTGAAATTTATTTGTTTATTATACACCTAGAAATCTCCCCATACTCAGAGAAGTCAGCTTTAGTTTTTTACCAGTAAACTATCTTGAGGTTCATAATAAGATTGGAAAATCAAGCAAAGGTGCTACAATTGGTCCAATATATACTTTTATTATAGCATTAAGTACATTATATTACAATTATTTTTACATTTCTGTCATCTACTATGTTTTTTAGCTTATTCATCTTTTGAGGCAGGTGCCAGAACCACTGAGCTAAAGTCCTGGCCCTCATTCATCTTTTGAATAATCAGCTCCTATCACTTTCTTTTTGGTTTGTTTGTTTGTTTGTTTGAGACAGGGTCTCACTATGTAGTTGAGTCTGACCTGGAACTCACTATGTAGCCCAGGCTGGTCTTGAATTTACAGCAATCCTCCTGCCTCAGCCTCCTGAGTGCTGGGATTACAGGCATGTGCCACCATGCCCAGCTAGCTCCTATCACTTTCAATAAATGTTTTTGGAATAAATAAGTGGGCCTAACTTACCTTAATTACATTCTTTTTCTGTATATTTGGTGCCAGAAGACCAAGTATATTTTGTCCCTGCTTAAAATGCTTAGAATAATGCCAGGCATGGTGGCTCACACCTGTAATCCCAGCACTCAGGAAGATGAGGCAAGAGGATCACTGTTGAGTTCGGGACCGGCCTGGGCTACACAGTGAGTTCCAGGTCAGTCTCAATTATATAGTGAGACCCTGTCTCAAAAATTAAAAAAAAAAATACTTAGAATGATGCCAGGCATGGTGGTGCACACCTGTAATCCCAGCACTTGGGAGGGGCTACATAGTGAGTTCCAGAGCAGTCTCAACTGCATAGTGAGACCCTGCATCAAAAAAAAAAAAAAAAGAAAAGAAAAGTTTAGAATGGAAGATATTTTTATTTATTTCGTTAGCTGTTAACATCATGAGTATATGAAACATGTATATGCCATTAGCTTACATCTGTCCCATTTCTTTTCACCCAGATCAAACACTTTCTTTCTCCCATTAAATTCTTATTCCTAGATTATTTCTTTCCTTATAAATATTGCATCAGCAATTAAAACTACCTATGAATATCCACCTTTCTCTCTGTTATTCATAATTCCTATTTTTCTCTTGCAAATTTATTAGAAATACAATATCTTCAATCTTATTGAATATTTACTTTATAAAAGTTAAACTTTTAAAACTAAATTTCAACATTACCAGCTAGTGTTAAAATATTGTTGATAAGTTATGTATTTGTGATATTTTTTAGGCTAGAGCCAGAATTGTAACATTTGATTGTGGAAATGATATATTTCAAGAAAATGATGAACCCAGAGGAATCTATATAATTATTTCAGGCATGGTAAAGGTAAAGCAAAGATGTTTATAAATGTGTGACAATGTATTTTAAAATTTTTATAAAATGAGACAATACCTTTCCATGTTAAGAACTGCTTAGTTTCTTTTTTAGGATAGCAAGGACCATCCAAATAATGATTCTCATGACAAGAAACAATGGATAACAATGTGTAGCAGTTTTTAAGCCGTACTTTCTCATAGATTACAAGAAACTATGAAAGGATGGTCTATTTTAAGATGCTAATTTTTCACCTTATATTTACATGACTTGGTGATTTAACCATATAAAGTGGATATAAATTGGTTGAGTTGGTGACACCTGAAAGATTAGCATATTTAAGAACACTTTGTCTTTAAATCACTGTTAATTTAATCAATTTTCTTTGAAAGGAGAAAAGAATTTTAAACATAATATAATATATATGCAAGCATTTCAATTGTTACAATCAAAGTGGAACTACATAAATTAGACATTTTTGATAATACAGGTTAAGTGCCATATGTATTTTTCTCTTTCTTTGCTCCTGAACAGCTTCAAAGAGAAAAGTCAGATTCAGAGGTTGACTACATTCTCTTGGAATCAGAGGAAAGAGCTTATCCTATTGCTAACAAAGACTATGTGCTTGGTGGAGAAACAATAGGAGAATTAAACTGCTTAACTGATGAACCAATGCAATATTCTGCCACCTGCAAAACTGTAGTTGAGGTCAGAAAAGATATCCTATGTCTTACTGTTGTATCTCATTCGTTGTTTAATATCACATTTAAAGCCTTTTTAATGTTTAGATATGTCTATAGTATAGCAATATTTTAGTTTTTAAAAATAGGAAAAGTAAAAGGACAAATTTTATGACAAAATTTTGCTCATGTAGTATAATGTCCTGGTAAAAATGTTTCTGAAAGTGAATCTACCATAGCAAAGGAATTTAATCAGAAAAATTGGTCAAAGGAGCTGTTTCATGTTGCTAGGAGCTGTTTTATGGTGAATTGGATGAGTGATGCATTTCTTATACTATATTAACTAACAATAGTATAACTTGGAAAGTCAAAAAGGGAGAAAGGTCAGATCTAGAATTTAGTAATAGTAAACTTGTACAAAGTGGGTAAGAATTTGCCTAGACATGTCTGAGGACAAAATCCTCCACAAGCTCTCATTGGTTTAATTTGAATGGGGGAAGAAAGGTGATTCTCATTCATGATGTCACAATAAAGAGAAAACCTGAGACTCTTCAGACCTGCATTTCCAGCTATTTCTCAGGCAAAGAAATCATATTTAAAATATATAAAGAACACAAAAACTTAGACTCCCCAAATAAGACGCAAGACATAACAACCATGGATTCTTACAGAGCTTGCTCTTAGATTTTATTTTAGAGTAGCTCTAAAATAATCCTTATTTTAGGTCATGATATTTTACTCTTGAAGTCTATTCCTTCTGGTCCTTCAGTTGTATCCTTGTAGCCCTAAGAGTCTGTCTTCTAGCTAGACTCAGAAGCACTTCTTGGCCTCTACTGTCTCTGTTCCATTCTCAGTAATCTGGTGAATCTAGTTCTTTGTGAAGGGGCATAGCTAGGTTCTTTATTTTAGCTTACGTTTTCTATTTCAATGTTTTCATCAGTACACAATGTTTACATTTCTTGTAGGCAGTTATTACACACACAGACACACACACACATATACATACATTATATATATATATATGTATGTATATATATGTATGTATGTATGTATGTATATATATATATATATATACATACATACATACATACATATATATATATATGTATGTATATATATATATGTATGTATGTATATATTTTTTTCACTGTTTGTTTTTTTTGAGACAGGTTCTTGCTATGTAGTTTGGGCTGGCCCTAAACTCATTATAGAGCCCATATGTTAGAAAAGGGAACACAGACAAAATATTTGTAGGAATGTAAGTTAATAAAGCCATATAGAAAACAGTATGGAAATTCTTAAAAAAATAAAAGTAGAGGTCCAGCCATCCCACTACTGGGTTCATAGCCAAAGGAAATAAAATCAGTAGGTTAATAAACAGTTACACTTCCATGTTTTTGCAGCATTATTCACAGGTTAAGATACAGAAACAACTTAAGTGTCCATCAACTGATGAATGATTAAATAGAATAATATTTTACAGTGGAACTGTTTCAGCCTCAAAAAACAATAAAATTGTCTTTCAAAACAATATGAATGAGTCTGAAGACCAGTCTACTACATGAAATAACAGGCACATAAAGAAAAATACTGCAAAATCTCATCCATGTATGAAATTTAAAAACAGATTTCAGAAAAATGAAGTAGGAAGGTGGTACCCAGAGACTGATGGCAGTGAAAGTATGGGCAAAAGGAAGATGTTGGTCAAAGAGTACAATGTTTTAGTTAAAGTAGAGTAAGAAGTTTTAGCAATCTATTTAGAAGCAAGGTTTAGTAAGCAGTAAAACTACATTGCAACCACAGTTAATAATAGTAATCTAAATTACTAAAAAATAAATTATTTAAATGTATGCATAGATGAAAATATCACATTGTATTCCATGTTTTATACAATTATTACATATAAATTTAAAATAAATTAATATAAAGTATACATGTATAAAGAATGAATATGTTATTTAGTTTGACAATTTCACAATTATATATGACCTGGTATATCACAAGAGTATAAATTAGCTATGAATATATACATTTTATAGGTTTTCAGGCCATAGGCTGAATCTTACATATTTTAAATTCTTAGCCTTGATGTTATTGTAATGATGAAAGCAGTATTTCTTAAAGCACAGATGACAGAATGAAATATTAAATGGGTATCATTTTTTTCAGACATATTTTATTCCCAAAGCTCACTTGTATGAAGGCTTTCAAAAATACTGCCCTCTAATTGAACAGAAAATGTGGCTAAAAATTGGACGTGGTGTTGCTGCCAGGAAAATCAGGGAACATCTGTCTTATGAAGTAAGAACTGTGTAAACTCATCTTTCTCTCTAAATGAAACTGCATTAAAATACCCTCAGAATTGACTGCAACTAGAGATAAAAAATGGTAGAGTACAAGTCAGCAGTAAATCACTACATTTTTAGGACCTGGAGTGAGATATTTGGAAAATTATTTAATGAGAAGCAAGAGAAGAGTTCTGGAAATCAAGAAACCCCCAACAGGAAAGCTAAAAATTATGGAAAACTAGAAGAGAATGCTGAAAAAAAGAATAAAGCACTCTGGAGTTCTAACACTAGCTCTTGTGTTGGAGAAGGGAAACTGACTCTGCAAGCATAAAATAAGCCCAAAGGGGGTCTTCAGCCTCAGTGATAAACAATGGACTAGCATTCCAGCCCACAGTTATTATAAGTTTAAAATACAGTGTGGGATTTTACTGTAAAAGTCACTCCCTCATTATGGCAGGCTAGCATTAGAAAACAAATCCACTGTGGTGAATACAATATTTAGAAATGGAACAATCAGGACCCATTTTTGAGAAATGGTTTATTGCTTAAGGATGAGATATTCTGAGAATCAGAAGTCAAAGATCAGTCACACTTTAGGGTTTCTGGAGTTAACTAACCACAGTGTCTGGGTGGCAGATGACCAAGAGACAGCCATAGTGAAGAGGAAGGTCAGTCACAGACCCACAGGGAAGTTTAAGCAATGAGGACCTCAGGTTGTAGAGAACACAATGATTGGTAGCACTGTCTTCTCTGGTGAGGAGTCAAGCCCCTTATGTGCGGTATTCTGGTTGCACCATGTCTGAAAATCCTGGGATTGAGCCCAAGGAATTGCATGGCTAATTTTTCTTCTTCCTTCCAGTACAGAACTCAGTGATGTAACTGCTTTCCCCACCCACTAACATGGTGAGGGATATACCTGTTTGTATGTTTTCCAGTTCCCTCAGAATACAGATGGGGATGGGCCCTCTGGAGCAAGAGGGACACCCCAGAAGCCCATAGCTGTAAAGTTGCTTGAGAATAGCAATAGCTCATGGCACACAGAAAAATGAAAAAAAAAAAAAAACTAAAATTTTTGGAGTGAATACATCCTTGAGGTAGACAATACACCATTAACTGACCACACAACATCCACACAGATAGTCTATATCATAGATCTGGAAACAAGAACAGGCCCTAATTGGAATTGTGTGTCTCTCCCTCCCATATCTGATGGATTTCAAAACTGTAGGTCCTGGAAATTACCAATGCAAATACCTCAGCATGGAGGAGAGTTTTTTGGGTTTACATCCTTGAGGTAGACAATACACCATTAACTGACCACACAACATCCACACAGATAGTCTATATCATAGATCTGGAAACAAGAACAGGCCCTAATTGGAATTGTCTGTCTCTCCCTCCCATATCTGATGGATTTCAAAACTGTAGGTCCTGGAAATTACCAATGCAAATACCTCAGCATGGAGGAGAGTTTTTTGGGTTTTTCTTTTTTTGGGGAGACTCATTTCTCTTTTTGTCTTTTGCTATTTATTTTAACCTGATTTCTGTATTCCTCATCTTATCTTGTTTTTCCTTATTTCTCAAATTTTACTATGGTTTCCATTTTTCCTTTTCCTATACCCTCCATTTTTATTACTACTACTAACTTTAATTAATTTTTAGGCTTTTACCTTATTCTATTATTACTGATTTTTCTCTATTGTTAATGGTAGTATAATATGATTGTTACTTTTATTTTTTGCTATATGTAAATATCTGATTTGTCTATGTGTCATCAATTTTACTATCATTTTTCTCCTCTCTGGTTTGTGCTGGGATAACCCTCCAAAGAGGGTTGGACCCTCAAAACTAGAAGACATATCCATCTTAGCAGAATGAGTCCACTTGGCAATGCAAGAAATTAAACAGAAGAAAAAAGGAACCAAAAAAAGGACAATAATACGACAATCAATACATATCAATTATAACCTTCAAGGTAAATAGTGTCAATTCACCAGGCAAAAGAAACAGGCAGAATGAATCAAGAAGCAAGATCCAACAATATTCTGCATAAAGAAACACATTTAATTAAAAAAGAAATTCATAAACTTAAAGTCAAAGGATGGAAAATAATTCTCCATGCAACAGAAACCAGGAAAAAGGCAGAGATAGTTAATCTACTTCCAGACAAAGTGGAGTAGAGGCCAACTGATTAGAAGAGACAAAGAACGTTACTAAATCCTTATAAAGGGAACTGATTAGAAGAGACAAAGAACATTACTAAATCGTTATAAAGGGAACTGATTAGAAGAGACAAAGAACATTACTAAATCGTTATAAAGGGAACAGTCCAAGAGGAAAAGATAACAATTGTAAATATGCTCCAAATACCAGCACACCCAACTATATAAAACAAATATTAAGGGAACTGAAAAATCAAATAATCACTAAGGCAGTTGTAATGTGGGTCCTCAATACCCCGTTGTTACTGACAGATCATCTAGAAGAAGAAGAAGAAAAAGAAATACCAGAACTGAACCAAGCTTTTGAACAAATGGGTTTAGTAGAGGTCTACAGATTTTTCCACTCCACAACATCAGAATAAACATGCTTCTCAGCTGCACGTGGAGTATTCTCCAAAACAGACCTAGAACATGCTTAAATATATGCAAAAGAATTGAAATTATCCCATGCATACTATCAGAACATCATGCAGTGAAATAGGAAATAAATTGCAAAAGAAACCACCAAAACTGGATAAACACATGGAAAGTAAATAGCATCCTCCTAATGTTGTAATGAAATGGAAGAAGAAATTAGAGAATTTCTATAGTTAAATGATAATGCCAATCCAACATGCTAGAACTTATGGGACAGAATTAAAGCAATACTAAGAGGGAGATTTATAGTGGTGAATTCCCATTTCAGAAAAACAGAATGAGCTCAAATAAACAACCTAATGTTGAACCTAAAACTTGTAGATAAGGAAGAGCAGTTCAAGCCCAAAACTCCTGTGAGGGAGGAAATTATAAAAATCAGAGCAGAGAACCACGCCTGCTCCCGACCCAGCAGCCATCCATCACTCAAGCGCCGGGAAGGTAGGCCGGGCCCTGATCCACCACGGGAAGGAGAACCACGCCTGCTCCTGACCCAGCAGCCATCGCTCAAGTGCCGGGAAGGAACCCCCATAAGCCCCCCCCGCACTCTCAGACCTCCTGACTGTGCAAGTCTTTGGACCCACTCTGCCAAGACAGAGGTGGTCATCAAGGGTATTTTTCTGAGTTCCCAACTTTGAACATCTTTAAAGAAAGGGCATGGGAAACCTGTAATAGAATGTTGGGGAGTTCAACCATTCAGAAGGATGGGGAACTCAATCTGGGCCTTGCAGCCTGAGGTCAGTCAGCGTCATGGGGTTCAGCAATCAGCTAACTGAGATCAGGGGTCTTGCATCCTCGCTCTGTCTGAGCCATTAAATGGTAAATATACTATATTGAAAAGTTTGTTCACTGCAGACATGTTCTGGACTGCTTCTTGATTTCAATTTAATTCAAATGATTTAAGGGTGATAGACTAGTGACTACCACAGGTGGTCAGTGTCCAAGTTGTGCTTGATCTTAATGTGTTGCTGATTGTATCAGTTGGGGTAAAGCATTGCCGTTGATTTGATGAGCTGTTTTCTCTGATGTTATGAAGATGAGAATGTCTGTGGGTCGTTAGAGACACAGAAGCTAGGGTGCAACTGTATCAGGAAGATTTGGGTGATAATCCAGAGATTAAACCAAGGACAGTCCGCCAACAAAAATTAAAATGAGAAAACACTTAAGCAAGACACAAGGACAGACTTCCAGTTCACCAATGGCAAACAGTAGGGCAA